ACATGACCTGATTTTTTTCTGACCGAACTGAACATTCAAAATATTTGCTATGATTTTAAAAGTTTAACTTAAATTCTTATTTCCCATCGGCTTATATTTGGCAAACTCTTGTTTTTGTACACAGGGTCAAGAATAAATTCTACATTTTACCAGTTATTGTGGGAGTGGAGGAGGGGGAGTAGCAGGTGGCTGTGTGTCCCTGCAAATGCTAAAATATTTGCGATATGGCCCTTTATAGGAAGAAACTTGTTAACTCCTAACTTATGCTATAATTTCAGAGATGCTTAGTATTTATTATTATTGAAATTAATATAATATTAGCTTATATTTTTGTGCTACTATGTACCAGGCACATATTATTATTTTAATCACCCCTTGGAGGAACTGGTATTATTCAAAATTTATAGAGGAAATAGGTTCATAGTGACTTGAGAGGCTTGCCTATTTTTCAGCTGGGAGGGACTAGTTTCTATCAGACCAACTCTACTGCCCAGAACAACTGATCTAGAAAAGCCAAAATACACCAGAAATGTATCCACTTCAGGGCATCAGAGCACAGTCAAGCAACCAGGGCTTGAAAAAACAGCTGTCTGTGGGGTCACACAGAGTCGGGCACGACTGAAGAGACTTAGCAGCAGCAGCCGAGGAGAGATCAAAGTGAACCAAACCCAATATTCCGTGCTACTTTCTCCTTTCAAGGAATTTGCTGCTGATTTATAACTGACACAGGGCATAGAAGATGAGAAGCAGAGTAGTTAAGAGGCTAGGAAATAGCATAGAGCTTTCTATAGTCTCAAGGGGTTGGGAGACCAAATATGGAATTTAGGGTTATAAAGACTGAGAGCTTTAAATGCTTCCAAGCAAGATCCCAGAGAGAAGGGGAGAACAAAGATGCAAGCCTGAATTTGGAGCTGCCTTCCCCCTGGAGATATTTGCCAATTTGTAAACAGAGGCCAAAAGATAGAGACACCAAACAGAAATCCTCAAAAAGATTTCTATTTTGAAAGTAAAATAAAGCTGTCAGCAGGCTCAATGCTGGAGGGAACAAAACCAAAGAGTTTCAAGAAGAACACCATGAACCAAAGAAACAAGAAGAGATAGAAAGCCTGAATAGTCCTAAAACTTTAAGAAACTTAATAATTTAAAACTTGTCCATAAGAAAAGCTTCAAACTGAGATAGCTTCAGCAGAGTATTCTTCCAAAGGAAGAAATGAAACCCATCTTACTAGACTCTTTTAGATAACAGAAAAAAAGTGGGGGGAATTCCCCACCTTATTTTATGAGGCCAGTATAACCTTTATGCCAAAAACATAATAAAAACAATAATTACAAGGCCAACTCTCATGTAACCATGAATTCAAAATATTAACAAATAAAATCCAGTGATATATATTTTTAAAAATAAAACAGTTCTTGATCAAATTTGCTTTATTCTGGGAATCCAGAGATGATTCAACACAGGCCCATAATTAATTTACCACATTAATAGGAAAAAATGGGGGAAAATTCAGGGATCATCTCAACAGACACAGAGAAAGCATCTGACAGAATTCTAGACCCATTTCTGACTTAGAAGAAAAAAGTTTTTAGCGAATTGGGATTAGAATAGAACATCGTTAATCTGATAAAGGGTACCTATATTAAACATTAGTGGTGAACATGTTGAATATTTTCTCCCTGAGGTCATGAAGAGGACAAGGCTATCTACTAGTACCACTTCTATTCAACACCGCATTAGGGATCCTAAACCATACAGTTATGCAAGAAAAGTCTCATATGATTGGAAATAATAAGCCTGTCTTTATTCATTGATGACATTATTATGTCCCTAAAGACTCTAAAAGGATCCTCAGACAAGCTATTAGAATTAATAAGTAAGTTTAGCAAGGACACTGGATACATGGGTCAATATATAAAAATCAATTAAACTTCCATGGGGCAGCTCAAACTGTTAAAAACATGGAATTTCTAAAAATTGCTACCTTTTACATTTTTCAACTTTAAAAAATTAAATATCTAAGAACAAATCTAACAAAACAGATGCATGACACCTGCACTGAAAACATTATTAAGATAAAAGATGACTCAGATAAGTGAACGAATATGCCATTTTCATGTATTGAAAGCCTCAGTATTATAAAGATGTAAATTCTCCTCATAGTGATCTATAGAGTCAATAAAATCTCAGTCGAAATCCTAGTATATTTTTTTGGATACAGAAATTTTCAAGTTTATTAAAGAACAGCCAAGATAATTTTGAGGAATAACAAAGCTAGAGAACTTACACTATTATAAAGTTACAGTAATTAAAATAATGAGTCTGGTATCAGTGCTTCAGGAGAGACAAACTGACAAACAGAATAGAAAGTCCTGAAACAAATCTACATTTTGTCACTTAAAAGACAAAGGTGATGATACAGTGCAAAGAAGAAAGATATATTTTTTTCAATAACTGGAAGTGGATCAACTAGATAACCATGTGGGAAAAAAACTCTTGATATGTAAACCGCAATACAGAAAAATCAATTCTAGATGTATTACAGATCTAAAGATGGAAAGTAAAACAATAAAACTGCTAGGAGGTAACAGAAGAGGGTAGACACAGCCCGGGGAGTAGACAAGATGTTCTTAAGTAGGACACATTAAAAAAAACACTAGATAAAAAGGAAATGATAAGTTGACATAAAAGGAAATGATTGATGAATAGAGTGTTTTCAATAAGACACCATGATAATTCACAGACAGGGAGAAGATTTCTTAAGGAATATTCATGTACAAAATACATAAAGAACTTCTACTGATCACTTAAGTAAAAGGTAGATAATTGCTGGGGAAAAATGGGGAAAAGATCTTCACCAGAGGATATCTGAGTAGCAAATTAACATGAAAAGATTCTCAACCTGATGAGCCATCAGTGAAATGCAAATATTAAAACTACAACAAGATACTCTTCAACAGCTACCAGAATGATTTAAAACAGACACTACCAAGTGCTGACAAAGATGTGGATCAACTGGAAACACCTGTATACTGCTGACGGCTGGGTAAAAGTGATACAGTCTCTGGAAAATTATCTGGTGCCTCCTACTAAAACTGAACATATCACATGCATACCCCCCTCTAATATCCAACAAAAGATATCAAGATTATTCCAGCAGCATAACTTGAAACAGACAAAAAACTGAAAAATAAATGTCAGTCTACTATACTGGATGAATTGATTGTATATTCATTCAATAAAACACTAAATGGAATAATAATGGGAGAATTACTACTATGCATAATAACAAATTAATCTTACAGATAAATTTTGAAAGAAGTAAAACAGAAAACACATATGAATGATTCCATTTACTTACAATTCAGAAAAAGACTCAGTTGTGATGCAAGAAATCAATATTGAAATAAGACCTGGGAGAAGCTGATGACTAGGCAGGGAGCAGAGGGGGCTTTTGGGGTGCTGACTTCATCTGAAAAATGGTCACATGTATATATTCACTCTGAGAAAATTCATCAAGTTGTACAGTTGTGACTTGTGCACTTTTATACATCAGTGTTACACTTCATATTTTTTCTTTCTTTGGCCATGCTGTGTGGCCTACCCTATCTTTAACTCCTTGACCAGGGATCAAACTTGAGATCATGGCAGTAAAAGCACCAAGTCCTAATCACCAGACTGCCAGGGAATCCCCTACATTTCAATTTTTTTTTTTTTAAAAAAGGATTATTCAAAAGAAAAAGAAGGATAGAAGAAATAAAAGTCTGTGGGACTATAAGCCCATGCTTGAACCGTCACTGCTTACTTATCTTTAGATTTTACCAGTAATTTAGATATTCATTTCCTGAAGAAGAAAATAGCAACCCACTCCAGTATTCTTGCTTGGAAAATTCCATGGACAGAGGAGCCTGGTGGGGTCCATGGGGTCACAAAGAGTCGCCCAGACTGAGCGACTGAGCACACAGATACTCTTTTAATTGGAAACTGAGAATCTTGGTGGACATGACTGAGGCAAAGGCCACTATTTAGGTCAAGGAACCCCAGGTCCCTTATATTTAACAGGTCAGAAGTGGCCTTCCTCACTTCACCTGACTGTAACAGTCACATCAGAGAATATGGGCTGTTGTGGTTATGCCATTTATTGTTTTAAAATAAGACTCAACCATTCAAAGGGGTGTTCATTTTTCAAAGTTTTATGTTGGAACAACTAACATTAAATAAATAGATGTGATAAATAGAGTTAATGTTTCCATACACATGTATGACAAGGATTTGATATTTATTAATGTTTATCTGTTAGTATAAAAAAAATCAGGTTTCAAATAGCATATGTAATATAATATTACCATTTTTGTACTAAAATTATATAAACTATACATTTCAGTACACTGGAAAACTAGGAAAAGATCTATAAAGGTATATATCAAAAGCTAACAAAGTTATTCCTTGATGTTTGATTTTCCTTTGTTCTCCTACACGTCTATTTTCAGTTTCACTGACACCAACATAAAGTGATGAAAAATCTTTAAAAATTCCATTTTGCATGATTCCATATGTGTATATCTATCTCTATATATACATTTCATAAATAAAACTAATTTCTAGGAGTATGGATAGGGATTTTCTTTGGAGACATATGTAATGACTAGAATGGTACACAAGTGAGGCTTGTAGGATGCTGGTAATGTTCTAGTTTTTGTTATGGGTACTAGTTACATGGGAAGTTTAGTTTGTGAAAATTTATTCATCTGTGGAATTTTCTATTGATAAGCCCAGATTGTACCAGCAACATTTAAAAAGTAACTATAGACATTTGGTTACTGATCATTTTCTTTTCCTTTGCAACTAAAATTTATTTTTAAAAAATCTACCTAAATGAAGTTTTGGTTATTTTAATTCAGCTAAAGAAAAATCTTTTGGCATAGAAATCTTCTGAACGTAACATTATATGTCAAAAATTTGATTACAGATGTTAATTATTAGTGATATCATTTATGTTTACCTGATAGTGAGGTTTATACCACTGCTTTAAGTCCCAATCCCAAAGAATCATCTGAAAGAAAAAATAAATAAAAGAATTCATTTAGTTACAAAATGGAGCATCTTCAATTATAGATACAAAAACAGCTTAAATTTTGGGAGAGAAATTGGGGAGGTGAGAATAAAAGTGATCTCTAGATAGAATATTTCATTAATTACACAATCTGTCATTGAAAAAGCAAGAGAGTCAGAATAAAGTCACTAAACTAAGCTATATTAACCTTTAAAAATCTATTACCACAGAACCAAAACTATAAATCCAAAACCACATCCATTTACTAAAAATACATGAAGAATGAGAAATCACCACCCTCCCCACTTCCCACCCTCTCCAAAGGCTCACAATTTGTCATTTTAAACCAATGTCAGTAGGTGGTGCTATTTCCCTAGCAACAAGGCTCTGTTGTCAAAAGCACCTTTAAAAAGCTTGCCTGCGGTTTACATAAAGCATAGAGTGGATTTATAAAAAGCTACACACAACCCTTTTGATTCACAGATTTAATTAGTTTCCCTGTTTCTCTTCTTTATAGATTATCAATGACAACTTCTTAGTACTAGACTAGTTTTTCCTGCCGTCTCTTCTAGCAGGCTGTGGGGCTACTTCCCCTCCAACAGTCACTGCTCAAGGAGACAAAATTATCTCAAATTTGGCAACCTATAGCTGCTAACTACAACTAAAACTAATTTCTTTTAAATTTACTTAAATTGATAAATAACTGATACAATGACAATTTTCTACATAGCTTTGAACCCTAACCGTGAACATAAGCCTAGTTAATTTGTAATCCAATCACATAATTTCTATGTACTGAAGTATTTGTTTCTACTCATAAGGCTCCTGATGCAAAAGATCTTAAAATGTTATCTATTCTTTCATTGGTCCAATATTTCATTTAGGAGTTGACAGAATTTTTTTCGTAAAGATACTAATAATTTAGGCTTTGCAAGCCACGTAAGGTCTCCATGGCATATTCTTTGCTTTTTGTTTTACAACCCATTAAAATGCAAAACAAAACAAATATTCTTAGCTCTGTGGCCACACAAAAAAGGTTGCTAGCAGGATTTGGTTAGTGGGCTACAGCTTGGCGACCCCTTTTAAAAATCATCATTTGTCATTATCACCATCTTCTTGTCAACACCCTTGCAGAAGGTCATCTCTTGCCAGTGAAAAGAAACATATTTCTTCCCAAAGAAAATCCAGACATACTACAACCGTTTACAAAATTCATGGACTAGTACCTGCAAAATGGCTATGGTACAGCAACATAAAAAGAATTTAATATATATTAGTAGACTCATCAAATTTACACAGTATTTTATATAGCCCTAAGTGTGGTCCTCATATAATTGCTTCAGGCTGTGATTTAACCAGCATATAAAGACATTAATTAATGCAGTCTAAGACACTAATAACTTCCTAAGAACATTCACATTAAGATTAAAGTAACCTAAAATCCCTAAGTTTCTTGTATACTTGATATAAAAAGTAGTGAAAGTGTTAGTTACTTAGTCATGTCTGACTCTTTATGACCCCATGGACTGTAGCCTGCTAGGCTCCTCCATCCATGGAATTCTCCAGGCAAAAATACTGGAGTGGGTTGCTATTCCCTTCTCCAGGGCATCTTCCTGACCCAGAGATGGAACCTGGGTCTCCTGCATTGCAGGCAGATTCTTTACCATCTGAGCCACCAGGGAATACATGTTCCATTTGCATGCTATGGTTACACAACTGGCTTTTTAGTCCCAAGTGCAATACCTTACTTCAGTCCTGATTTTAGCCTGTTCAAATTTCTTGGGAGAGTGGAATGTTGACTAGCCTATTTACCATTCTTCCCATCATCATGACATTTGTAAATCTGATGTTTTCTTAAGTTCACTAAAAAAAAAGTACAGAGTGGACAGGAATGAAGACAGAACCACCGGTTGAGTCCCTAAAGATTACCTATGAGATTTGCGTCTGAGTCCGCAAACTTGCCTAAGATGCTACTGTCCAATCCATACTCCCACATTTCTTCTACAAGGGTACCATCAAATGGTGACATACCTGTGCCTCATTTCTCCTTATCATCAATCTGAGAAGAAGTTTATTTCTTGCTAACTCCAGCATACTTTCATCATGAGGGTTTCTTAACATTCCTTGCTTCCCACCTGCTACTCTGGCTTTGAATAAACTCTTGAGCAGTAGCTCAGTCTTATTTGCAGTCACTTTCTCTGTGATCAAAAATACATTTGCCAAAAGGCAGCAGGTCTTAGTCTGAAATCCCCTGCATATTAGGAACTGAAATAGATACAGTGAAAGCCACAAATTGCGGGTAGACTGACTTCTGTGTAAATTGGACAAGTAGAATATTAGTGATTTTGAGAAAACAAAATTTCTGCGTAAGTAGTAGAAGATATATGATCCAGGAATCATACAGCTGCAGCGAAACACATCTTAGAGCAGAGTTACTCAATGTGTGGTCCACAATAAGAAAGTACAGAAATGAAGAGTAAATGTTTAGAGATGTTTATACCAATTTAATATAAAATTTGATATTTCATGTCATTTGATTATTATTGCTTTTATCTGTTGAATTTGCATTCTTGGCATTGTGTTACACCTTGTGTCACCAATCAAAAAAATAAATGGTTCAAAATTGGTTTCCTAAAGCTCAAGGTACTACCAAAAACAGTAACATAAATAACTCCAAATAAATGTTAAGCTTAAATCAAGAACAATACTCTAATGCAAACTCACTACAAAGCTGTGCATATAATACTACACAAAACCATAAAAGCAAAAATATTACTAAACCATACAACAGTGACCATCTAAAAACTGGATTTTTTTTTTTTTAGACTGCATGCTATCTACTTTGAAACTTTTATGACAGTCACGCAAAATGTGAAGGCTTTTGGTAAACCAGTAGAACTTTTTCCAGAACAATCCCATAAAGCTTTCTTATATGAAACTGAAGATTTCTGTTTCTAAAATAGAAGTGACATAAACTGGAGGCACCATTCAGATTCTGTGCTCCCCAAAGGAAAAGCATATAAAGAAGATAAACTATTGCCAATAGATGTGTAAAATTAGCCACACAGATGACAAACTTTATGCCGGAAGACAGAACAGACCAAAAAATCTCCAAAATGTATTTACTTCGCAACACTTTGGGACATCACAGACCTGAAAAGGCATATAAGGTGAAAGGTAATCACTGTCATATTTGCACAGAGCAGATACTTTAGGGGCTTTCCTGGCTCAGATGGTAAAAGAGTCTGCGTACGGTACAGGAGACCTGGGTTCAATCTCTGGGTTGGGAAGATCCTTGGAGAAGGGAATGACAACCCATTCCGGTATTCTTGCCTGGAGAATCCCATGGACAGAGGAGCCTGGTGGGCTACGGTCCACGGGGTTGCAAAGAGTAAATGCACACATGGGATGAATCTAGACCAGTTCTTTGTTTATGTGCAATACACACAGCAGAAGATGGGGGGCAACTTTTTTATGTTTATCATTGAAAAACCCATACTACAAAATAGATTTTTTTTCCTATTTAATCATTATTTTGTGAACTATGATGGAGACTTGAAAATGTGCTGAATTAGTTCTGAATCAGTTATTGCACAGCAAAGAAGAGCATGTCTAAACAATGAGAATCTCTCTTAACTGCAGACCTACCACTGCTTTATTCATAGAAAACAGCTGGTGGTTAACGTACATGCTGGGCACGATCAGTCGTAAAAAAAAACAGTGTTAAGAGTAAATGCATTCAATGTTTGGCCACAGAAAGTACGTCTTTTCAGTGTGCTGTGGGAAAATGGAGTGCAAATAAAAACTATAAATAGCAGATAGAAGTATTTTTTGCAATAAAATGCAAAGAGCTTCAATTTCTCAAGTTTTTAAGCATGACAATGCTCATTAACTTAGCAACAGACACAGCCTCAAAAGTAATCTTCAGTGAGAAATCTCTTTACGATTACAGGGTCCATGTTGAATTTCAGTATTCAGAATCAATAGTCAAAAAAACTACTTGCTGCATTCCACTGTAAATTACAGTTTTGCTTGAATTTTTTCAATTTAAGAGAATAGAGAAAAGAATCTGGTTGGATATAGAGATTGTGTTATATAGGCTGTGAATCTACAACACACAACCTATTTAATCATCAATGAGCTAAAACAAATATCTTTAATATTGCAAACAATGTTCACTAATTTCGTTTTTAAAAACTGAGTCGTCTCTTCTCCGACATCCTATGTGCGGTTGAGTTCTGTCCTCACCATGTCTTCTCACAAGACTTTCAGGATCAAGCGATTCCTGGCCAAGAAGCAAAAGCAGAATCGTCCCGTTCCTCAATGGATTCTAATGAAAACTGGCAATAAAATTAGGTACAACTCCAAGAGAAGACACTGGAGAAGAACCAAGCTGGGTCTGTAAGAAGCCTCACATAAAAAGTGGCACACGTGTTAAGACCACTTATTTAAGCAGCCAAATCACAGTGAGAACATCACTACTGTAATGCTTGGCTCCTGATGTTTCTTATTTCCTCACTATCAGTCTGAGACCGGTAATAAATATGATATGTGATGTTGGAGAAAAAAAAACTGAGTCATTTTAATACATTTATTTAATACTAGTAGGTAACCACCACACATACTGAATACACAGTGGATGGTGCATGGATATTAAAAGTTTAAGAAACATTGGTAGAAGCATTCATTCCTCCAAAATAACACGTAGCTCTTTTAAAATTTTACTTCCAAAAAAAAATAATAAAATTTTACTTCCAAGTAGCCAGTATATGCTCTATATAAACTGTTCCGAAGTCAGCAAAACCTAAACTTCACTCTCAATGCCAAAGGAAATCCTAGAAATAAATATAAGGATAAATAATTCAAATATTATTAAATTTTGAATCAAATAAAAAAAGAGTTTTAGTGACTATGGTATGTTCTCAAAACATGGTTCTGTTACACGATAAGATGTCATTTCATGAAAGGATGAATTTTAACTGCTGTTTTTAGGAGCTTCC